AAAATGAAAAGGATCATACTCATAACGTCGACGTTCATGTAACACTTTATTAGACAAGATCAATCTGCTTCTCAATTATTGGACTTTTTAAATGAATACTTCGTCAATAACATTCCTTCACATATAACAGTCAAAAATGTAATCGAAGATTTCGACATAAAGTAGTACCAAGGAGATTGAAGGGTGCGGTTGGGGATATTTCCAATGAGCGAATTTGCTAAAATCATAAAGGAAATTAAAATTTGCCATGTATCACCGAAATATCATAGTATTATGTCAATTAACATAGATATCGCAAGAGCACATTTTTCACAATATTATATTTCTGCAATCAAAGGAGCCTGCTCTATGAATCCTGAATTTGTTTTCCTTAACTTAATTTTCTCAAACTCAATAACAATTACCAATATAGAACAGGGATAAAAGTGGCAATATTTAATACAGAACATTTGAACAGTGATGTACACAGTATTATTTTCATCACATGTTTTATTAAAAAATGAAAATATGCGTGCGGTGTTCTACGTCATAGGGCGTCTGTATGAGGGAAAGTAGATGTTTTCACACCACGAGTAATAATTGTAGTAGTAACGATTTTTTTCTCACGTCTTCTACAAATAAATATTACCATGCTTGCAAACGATTACAATTACTTCGCAAGTTTATAGTTTTCTTTCAATGTAGGTACTTTCATCACAATGTTACGTGATGTTTGTTTTTATTCGGTTCTGCAAGAGACTATTTACATGCAATGTTACAATGAAAATACGATGGCGTGTCTTCTTTCTACTGATTTTCGTTTTGTTCTCCGCCATCATAGTCTTACTCTAGTTCCAAATCGTTGACATGGTCTGAATCGTTTAATTGTCACAATCACTACTTTCACATTCATCGAAGATACTAGATATAAAGTTTCCGAAATTAGGATAAAAAACTGACACAATCACATTTTTAAAAGCCGTACTTCTCAACGGAATCTATAAAGCTCGACCAGCGCAGGTAATACTGACAACGGCAGCAAGAACACAGCTGGAGTCATGACGTCTTTGTGGATACTACTACTGTCTTCGGTTATCTACAAAAACAAAAATAATCCCTACCCTTTCGTGACGTAGTCTGTGAGTCATCTATGACAAAAGTGAAAGCTGTACATAAGGGCTTAGGAAAGAAAAGGATTTCAAAGAAACGCTAGGGAGTACAGTATGACTGGTATTGAAAAGGACCCCACAACTCTGTTGAAAGGGTTATTTACCATCAAAACAGTTAAAAAAACGTTGGTAACGTATTATAGGGAGATTATTCTGCGCAGGTTTTTTAAATGCTGAGATCACAACCCATAAACTAGTTGCAGTTTGAAGAGATTGAGATGAAAATGTCTTTTGGCAAGAATTGATGAGAAAATATTTGCTCCAGTGTAATAAAATATTTACAAAGGCAAATCAGTTGTAGATTTGAACTATTATCCATCGCCGTGGCTCCGAGAAGAAATAGACTACCCGCCGAGAGAACATGGAGTAAGATAATTAGAATAACGATATTTTCTCAATGAACTATAGAAGACATCCTCTGATAGTGAAGTTACGCCCCGAGTCAACACAAGGAATCATCTGAGAATTTGCTCGAAGGATCAGGGAAAGTGGACAAAAATCTGTAAAAGATGGGAGGTCATTGATTCAGAAGCTGAGGTACAACACTTCTTACATGTTTCTAGCGTTACTTAATGGCCAGCAACAGCAGAAATGCTGCTGAACACAACCACACAAAATGGTTTACTTAACATTTCTCAAGAACAACAAATAAATATTTTATTTATCTCTCGTACAATAGAATAAATTAAATATATTGACAAACTCATATTTTAGGAATATATTAGTATTCACGTTCCGTAACATAGTAAAATTGTTCTTTACACGCCAAGAATATGGAAGTAGAGGTGCTACAACAGCACGTATTTTCTCTCATTATTGAAAAACGTTTTTGTAAAATTGAAATATTGCAATTTTTGCCCTACTAACCCTCAGCTGTAACTTGAAAAAAAAACAAACAATTGAACCAATTCAAACGAAACCCCCGTGCATTTATTTCGATAGTCAAAAGCAG